TTCAAAAAAAAAAAAAAACACGAAGGATCCTTGCTTAAAATCGTGGTGCAAAGTAGTGGGGTTGACTCTCACTATTGCAGTGGTTGTTACTAAGTGAAATGCACTATGGATAATAAGGCATTTGTTCTTGCAAAAAAAAAAAAAAATCTGAAGTTGTGGTTCGTACTACATTGTGTATATACATATATCCGTTTATCGTATGTTCCTTGGGAAGTCTGAATCTCAAAGTTGGTCGCAAACTATCTTCATTAATTTTGTCTAAGTTGAGAAGGAAAAGATTTTTTGAATCTAGTGTATCTTGTGTGCGATTTTTATTCCTCATTATTTAGGCATACTTGCATGTGATTTCCTTCTTGAACCTGATCTATTTGAGTCTAAAATTTTGTGAAGAATATATGCTCAAAGATAAAATTTGATTTCTTTCCTAAATTTCGAAATAATGTGAGAAGTTATTTGTGTGAGAGGTTGTATTGTGTTTGAATTTTGGATTTGGAGGGATCAGTTTCTTGCTATCAGCCGCCCAAGTTTGCAACGTCTCTTTCTCTCTCCTCACCTTGAATCTCGGAAACTGCCTTTTGCAGTTATCTCTGTCAGAACAACTTTATATCCTTCACGATTCTCCACCTCTTAATCATTCCTTCTTTTTCTATTGAAGTTATCTTATTCTCTCCTTCTTCTTTTCAAACCTTCTGAAACCCTATTTCTCTTCAAACTCAATCGCCGCTCTTCTCCCATGGCTTGAAGTAAAGACAAGTCAAAGAAGAGGCTCAAGAAACACAAAGAAAAAGGGTTGAAGCGCCGTCGTCTCTCTCTCACTACTAGCTCTACTCGTGAATCCACGCCATCGGCAAAAACTCCAACCCCTGAATCGTCTCCTCCGACAAAGTCTGTTACACTCTCCTCCTCTCGGTCTGGTTCTCCGTCGAAGTCAGACAACATTGGCAAGAATCTTGAAATCTCTCCGCTGGCCACTGGAGTACCCGACCTCTCTGGGTTTGTTGAGCCTCCTGCAGTTCATGCTCATGGGGAGTCGTCTGCTGTTTCGACTTCTGCAACCAAGTCTGTCACCGAGGGAGACAAGGATGATACCGCTGCTACCACTGTTGAGGTTCACTCAGACCAACCCACTCCTCCTCCAAGGGCCCCGGTGCGCTGCTCCACTCGCCGCAGAGGCAAGGACACCATAGATGAAAATCTGGTGCCCCCGGAACCAGAGGATGACGCCTATGATCTCAGAAATGCCTTCACTAACCGGTTCTATACCGAGGCCTCTCATGTAAGGTTTGAGCGTCTTAAGTCTTATGGGTTTTGAAGTGAACATCCTCTTAAGGATGATAAATTTGTTGAACTTGGTGTTCTTCCTCTTATTGATTCTGTTGGGTTGTCAAAAACTGTTGTGGATCTTAGTTCCTTCTGTGACCAAGCTGTTTGTGAATTTTTTGCAAATCTTACCCCTGTTGTCTTTGAACTTGGTAGTCCTCGTTTTCACAAACTCTTTTTGCGTAATCGTATTATAGATTTTTTGCCTACCTTGATCAATGCTCACTTGGGTATTCCCTCTGATATTTCACCTTTGCCTGATGTTGATCTTGATGTTGTGACCCAAGTACTTACTGCCAATCAGCTTGATACCTGGCCTGAATCAAACATTTCTGTTAATTCTTTGTGCCTTGTTGCTAATCTACTTCATAAGGTAGGTGCAGGGAATTGGACCCCCACGTCCAATAAGACCTTGCTCACTGAATTGCAAAGCAAGGTTATCTATTGGGTGATGGTGGGTCAGCCCTTTAGTTTTGGGGAGGTTGCGTTTGAGATTCTTCAGCCATTCATTGCCAATATTGAGTCTCGTCGTTCGCTACCTTTTCCCTGTTTGATCTGGTCCTTTCTCACTGCTTAGAATTTCTCTTTGAATCCACGGTACAATGACTCTCTTAATCCTCCTGGTAAAGATCTGGTTGTGAGCAACCGCACCTTGAGTGAGAAATCTGCTCCAAAGCAGAACCTGACTCCTTCAGTGGTTCCCACCAAGTGGGAAGAATTTGTCATCCAGCAGTTGGGTGAATGGGATGATCTGGCCAAGAAGGTTGCAGCTCAACAGTCATATCTTCGTCAGGTTCTTCAGGCAGTAAAAGGAAAGCAGCGAAAGAACACGGGGACAGGCCCTTCGGCATCCCGTAGTTCGAAAAAGGGGGAGAAAGCCTCAAGCAAGAAGAGTGTTGCTGTTGATGATGATGAGGACTCAGATTCTGGGGGAGACAGCACTAATGAGGCCATTGCAAATTATTATGCTGATGAGTAGTAGACTGTCTTAGTATGAGTGATGTAGTGAGGACTTTCTGTAATAAAGAACCTCTTATTTATTTGCTTTTGATGATGTGGTTTTATTGCTACTATTTTTAAGTATTTTGAATGTAGGTATTTTGATGCTTTTGATGACTGCTTATTTTGATTGCATGGAAATTTGTCGGATTCATTCTGTTGAGCTTGTTGTCTGCAGGAACTAAGGGGGAGAACTGTGATTATTTTTATGTGTGAAAATGTTTGAACTAACTCCTTGATGTGGTTCACTATTCGGTGCTTGATTGCTTTAATTTTCAGGAGACCTTCAAGTCTATTGTTTTCGAACTAGATGCCAAAGGGGGAGATTGAAAGATATTTTTATTTGGCATTAGTTCGTCAGATCGAACAAGCACCTGGAACCACAGAAAAAGGGAAGATTGTTATTTATTTTATTTCCTTAAGTAAGCTTATTTCACATTCCATATATAAGATATTATGAGTCTTATTATGGTATTGTATTTTGTAGGAAATCGGATTTGAAAGAATTAAAGGAAGGAGAGGCGTGCTTTAAGAGGAGATCATAGAGAGAGAGAAGAGGAGATTTACTTGCCTAAGATATGTTATTCTTATGGAAGGAAATCAAGCTTGGAGTCCTATGCCTTGTAGAAGACTCCAACCCTAAGGAGTTTATTTTAAATACCCTAGTGCAAGCTCTTATTGCGGCTGCAGAGATTAGAAAGATTTTTAGAGCAATACTCGAGCTTCTCATTTCTGTTCTATTCAGTTGTACGCAGTTCAGTACGAGAGTTCTTACTAACTCAAGGACTGTAACTGTTTTGTTTTTGGTTTTCTTTGTTTCATCAAACTATCTTCTGATTTTACACTTAGGGAGTAAGTGTATGATAACAAGTTCACGGGACGTGGCCGGAGAAATAATTGGTAGGATCGTGAGTAGTGTTGGCTAGGCTTAAAGGGAGTTTGAGTCGTTGTAAGTCCAAACTATGTTCGTGTTCGATCTATCAATGAAAGAGCTCTGAGGGGAAGTGAGACGCTTCCCTGAAGAGTTTTTATAATCTTCGATTTATTGCTTCCGCATTATTCAGTTCTTGTTCTAGTTCGTACGATAAATAGTGCACTCCGTAATATTTATACGTTTCAACCTATTAACCAGAAAACCTAATTTTAAACGAACTAATTTGTAAACAAACACGTTGGTAACGAAAAATTGAGATTAAGTACTATTCCAATTGGATATTTTATTTTGCATTATTCAATCAAGATTGTATTGATCACTGAAAATTAATTTTTTATTTTTTTTTGCGAAAATTATTATTCATTTCATCTCACATTTTTCTTTCTTACAAGCTTTCAAAAAGACAATTTAAAAATAAAACATAGTAATATTATGTATTTTGTTTTTTTAAATACTATTTATCCACTAACATATATCCAACTATCAATTTTTATCAATAATTTTCTTATTTTTAATCTATCAAAAACTTTAAGGACACGTGTAGACTCTATATTTGATATGCAAATCAAAACGCACCTAAATTTCAATTAAATCTACTTTTTCTTGTAAAATGCCTCAACTCGAGGATCGATCTGAACCATCAAAATAGGTCCCTATCGACGGTCAGAAATGATTTATTAAACAAATCAAACTTCTGCGCTCCCATTGGCCACTCATCCCTACATCCGGATACCGATCCACTCTCTCTCCACCACATTCAATCTCAACCCTCCATTCTACCTCTCATCCAACGGCCTAAACATTCCAACTTGAAATTTATTATTTTTTTTTTTTCAAAAGAACTCGAAAAAACCCTCCTCGCGCCTGAATTTCCCCCTCAAACCCAAAATTCACAATCCTTATAAAATCCCTAATCAATCATCAATCGTCCCATTGTAAAAAAACTCATCTTCTCAGTCATCTCCGATCACCGATCAAATGGCGCGCACCAAGCAGACGGCGAGGAAATCCACCGGCGGTAAAGCCCCGAGGAAGCAGCTGGCGACCAAGGCCGCCAGGAAGTCCGCCCCCGCCACCGGCGGCGTCAAGAAGCCCCACCGCTTCCGCCCCGGCACGGTTGCGCTCAGGGAGATCCGCAAGTACCAGAAGAGCACCGAGTTGCTGATCAGGAAGCTCCCTTTCCAGAGGTTGGTCAGGGAGATTGCGCAGGACTTTAAGACGGACCTCCGGTTCCAGAGCTCCGCCGTCGCCGCCCTCCAGGAGGCGGCGGAGGCGTACCTGGTGGGTCTCTTCGAGGACACCAACCTCTGCGCCATTCATGCTAAGAGGGTCACCATTATGCCAAAGGACATCCAGCTGGCTAGGAGGATCAGGGGCGAGAGGGCTTAGGTTTGATCTAGGGTTTGGAATTGAACTTCTTCTCATTTCAATTTTCGTTTTTAATTTGTGTAGAAACTACCAGGGAACGGAATGTAACGAGTATTTTCACCGTGGTTAATGAATTTGTCTCGATTCTAGTCGAATAAAGCCTTTGATTTGATTCAATTAGATCTTGTTACAATTGCAGAAATTCCCATTTTTTAAGTGTTTTATAATGATTTGATCCCATTAGATCTTACAATTGCTATCTTCAGCAGTTTTACAAAAGCTTAAACTTTGATGAATCCACTTGTGTTATATATCTCTCTTCTGCTTTTGGGCTTTTTAGTTCATGCTCAATGATTATTGATATTTCACACTTGGGAAAATTATTCATTCGAATGGCATTTTGTGATATCTTACCTTTGTGGCTAAGATAGAGCGATTGTCTCGAATGGACCGTGTCCGATTCTTGGACAGCATCATTTTGCAGAAAAACATAAAGGAACATTGTCAACTCCCAAACAAAAAGCAGAGATCAAACATTTGTTTGTAAAAAGGATAGTCAACTCAACATCCATAGCTATAATTATGTATTAGCACATTTACAACATAGTTAATGATGATTGATCCTTATCAGTCATCATCATCATCATCATCCAGTCAACTAAGATGAGTGATGCATAGATAGTATTCTTGTAGAAGACGCTAATTGGGTTGTAGCCCATCACCTAGACTTAATTTTTGTTTTGAAATGATTTTCTTACCTATATGGATACGACCCGTTTCAGCCCTGGGGCGCCTTGTCGAAGCAGCCGCCAAGGCTGATTCATACAAGGACTAAAAATAGATATAAGAAAGCCCAGCAAAACAACGGTAAAAATGAGACACACAAGAAGTGAGAGAGATAACATTAGCAGCAAAACATGACAGTGTCTTTTAGTGCCAAAACGAGTTGTCCATGCTAGCATGATCAACCATCATCTCCATGTCCATGTTAAAGTGGGGTCCAGCCCGGTAAGACAGCTCGCCCCTAGAAGAGGGGGAGGTATTTTCGGGCGAATTATATGAGAACTGGCGCATGCGCATCTGCACGACCTCTGCCTGTGCAAGTGCTAGTTGAGTCTGTAAAGTGTCGATTTGGTTCTGTAGAGATGATATGGCGCCCACACAACCGTAAACCGGGTCCCTTACCCGAGCATTAGCTTCGTATACCATTGAGCTCACAGCATCCCCTCTTTGATGTTCAGGCAACTCCTGCATGTTTCAATATTTTTAAACTTCGAATATTAGTTTCAAAATCATTTTTAGTATCTTGATGTAAGAGCTAGTGCAACCCATTTCGATACTCTGGATATTGTCTTGTTTTACGTTAATATGGTAAGCGAAACGAAATAATATTTTCTGGAAGGAGAGATGTTTTTGTTTCAAATAGGTTAGAGGTGATGTCATGCTCACAACATTATTACCTCATGAGATTTTCTGTTTCTCATGAAGACAAAATGAGTGTTGTGACTTTAATCTCAAAATACACATGCTTTAGATAAAATGTTGCTTTTTCGCAGTGTAAACTCGAGGTTCAAAGGCAGCAAAAGTTAGCCTATGATCGTGCTTTTGCCTTTGGACAAGAAATAGAAGCCTTTTTGACTAAAAAGAAGTCATATATTTCTAGCTAAACAGCATAATGGGAATGAGAGCATCTCATGTTTTTCTTAAGGTCTGTTGAGTTTTTTTTTCTACATTTGTACCCCACCACACTCCAGAGTCCAATTTTCTTTCTCGATTTTCGACACTAATATTCCACGTCACAGTTATATTCAACATATCGATGCACTAATATGACAGATGCATGAAAAAGAAGCATAACAACCAAAATACAGTTAACTCACAGTTCCACACTTACGGAACTAAAATTAGTCCGTAAATGCAGGACACAGAACAAGTCATGACTCGAAAAAAGTCGGCGAACGTCCTTATAATTACTCCAAACTTTCGACTTTCACTAGCACACATCGAATTTTGTCTTATGGATTAGCTTTAATTGGATAACATATAAAATTTTCGGAAAGACAGAGAGAGTTTGAGTTAACCTGGAGCATTTTGTTGACATTGCTAGCGCCAAAGACCTTATGCACACTAGCAAACTTGTGGGGCTCGTCTGCCGGAAAATAAGGCGCAAACACACAGTCCTCTGCACATCTCCGCCGGAGAAGCTTGCAAGCGGCACACGGTGGTGCAATCCCATGCTTTCGGCTATTCTCCGACTTCCTCATCTCACCTGATCTCTATCTCTGTATATATTTATAGTTATATTGTGTGTGTACACAGTTTTAGACCTCACCTCTGTACTGTTAGTTATTTGTTCTCAATATTCAAGCACACAAACACACATATATATATATAGACAATGAATTCCAGCACATCACTGTTCCTAGACATGAATATGTTTTTACTTTTTGAGCTACAATATATTAATATTTTATATGTATATAAGCTCACTTGGGCAATGCAAGCGAAAAATTCTCCTTTTTTGTCTTTCTTTCTTCCATCTTAAAAATGGTATCTAATATAGCATAAAAGAGGGGGCATTGACGAGTTATATTAGGACATATATAAAAATGTATTTTTTTATCTAGTTCAAACCATAGTTTTTAAACTCGGTCCGGAAATCGACCCGGGCAGGTCACCGGGTCACCAGTTCAACCGCCAGATCATCGAGTCAATTGTTGGACCGGATAATTAATTTTAAAATTTTTAAATTATATATATAATATTTTCGACATATCAATATACATAAAAGTAACATATATAAAAATACGACGAGTTATATTAGGGCATATATAAAAATGTATTTTTTTCTAGTTCAAAGATGGAGACCCATTTTTTCTTTTTTCTTTTTTTTTTTTTTTTT